GACGCAGGCGTCCGAGGCGTCGACGGTGCCCCGCGACTGCTCCGCCTTCGCCGCGCCGGAGGGGCGCGTCCTCGCGCTCGACGGCGCCGCGGACGAGCCCGCGGCCGCGGACGAGCCCGCGGCCGCGGACGAGCCCGCGGCCGCGATGGACGAGGGCGACGAGGAGTCGCCCGCGCGGCCGCCGCGCGTCGCCGAGGCGGAGGCGGAGGCGGAGGCGCCCGCGCGCGCGCGGCGGCGGCGCGTCATCGAGATCGACGACGACGACGACGGCGGCGAGCCCGCCGCGCCGCGCGCGCCGACGCCGCCGCCGGCCGTCCTCTTCGACGACCGCGAGGACGCGGCGCCGGCGCCGTCGCCCATGGCGCGCGTGCTCGCGAGGCTCCGGCGGGTCGGGGCCGCGCTGTCGGCCGCCGCGGACGCGCGGCGGCGCGGCGCCGTCCTCGACGCGCTCGGCGCGCTCGACGCGCTGCGCGCGGGCGACTACGACGCCGTGACGGACATCGAGGCCTTCATGGAAACGAAAATCATCGAAGCGCTGAGAAAGGCCAAGACGCTCGAGTACGCGGCGCCGCGCGCCAAGGCGCACATCAAGCGGTGGAAGGCCTGCCTCGAGAAGCACCGCACGGACGCGCCGGCGCCGGCGCCCATCCCGAAGCGCGCGCCGCGGCCGCGCGCGGACGACGCGAGCGACGGCGAGGAGGCCGAGTTCGAGGCCGGCGGCGGCGCCGCGTTCGAGGCGCGCGACGCCGCGGGCCTCAAGGTCGGCGACCGCCTGTGGGCCCTCTTCGAGGACGTGCCCGGCCAGGAGTGGTGGGGCGGCACGATCCTCGAGGCGCGGCGCGACGGCACGTACGACGTCATCTTCGACGACGGCGAGCCCCAGGACATGGACGGTCGCTACTGCTTCGCGAACATCGACCCGGACGTCTACGCGGCCATGCGCCAGAAGGTGCCGAACGCGCGCGCCAAGGCCGTGCTCCGGCGCCACGGCCTGCAGGCCGCGGGCGTCCTCGACCTCCGGCGGCCGCGGAAGCGCGCGGCGGCCGCGGCGCCGCGGCCCGCGAAGAAGCCCCGGCCCGCCGCGCCGCCGCCGCGGGCCGCGCCGCCCAAGGCCGCGCCGCCGCCGCGCCTCGACGGCCTCGGGTCGGCCTGGGGCCCGGAGCCGCCCGCGCGGGGCCCCGCGGCCGACCCCGCGCCGGCGCCGCGGGACCGGTCCGCGAGCCCGCGCGCCGCCGACGTTGCCGCGCCGCGCGCCGCGGCCCTCATCCCGAAGAAGAAGAAGGTGGCGAAGAAGGCCGCGGCGCCGCCGCCGCCGCCGCCGCCCGCGCCGCGGCGGCGGCCGGACCACCGGGGGTCGCCGCTCGAGGTCGCGGAGCAGACCCGGAGCGCCCAGGCCGAGGCGCAGCGCGCCCTCGTCGTGGACATGAAGGGCGCCGCCGACGGCCTGGGCCTGCGCCACGCCTGCTTCGACGACAAGAAGGCCGGCGACGTCTTCGGCGCGTGCGTCTTCTGGGCCGGCTCCGCGCGGAAGCCCGCGCGGCCGCGGCCGCTGCCGTCGGCGAACTGCCAGGAGACGGCGGGGAACCTCGCGGAGAAGCTCGCGTCCTACCTGCGGGACGCCGGGCCCAAGGTCGGCGCCGACGGGTTTCCCGCGCCGGCGCCGGCGGCCGACGACGTCGTCGTCGCCGCGCGGACCGTCGCGCGGCGCTGGCTCGAGGCCAACGACGGCACGTCGGCCGAGCTCGAGGCCCTCGGGGCCCGCGTCGACGCGACGTGGACCGACGCGTCCTGCGGCGTCATCCGCTACGACAACTCGCGGGGCACCGTGGCCGAGCTCCGCTGCCGCGCGCGGCCGCGGCTGCGGTCGTCGATCCGCGTCGACGTGCTCCAGCGGCTGCGCCTGCGCTTCGAGAGCGCGCTCGACGGGTCGCCGGACCAGGAGCTCGAGGCGCGGCGCTTCCTCACGCGCGTGCTGCTCGTGCTCTTGGCGTACGATTCCTTGTTCTCCGACCCGGGCCAGCACGGCATGCTGCCCGTGGCGCTCTTCGACGTGCTGCGGCGCTGGGGCACGGAGGGCGAGGGCTTCGCGACGCCCCTGAACGCGACGCTGCCGCGCTTCTGCTCGCTCCACGGGGCCTGCGACCGCTTCTTCGGGTCCGAGGGCTCGTTCTTCGACTGGCGGCCGTCCGAGGGCAACTTCGAGCTGAACCCGCCCTTCGTCATCCAGGGCGCCGTCGTCGAGGACCGCGTCGTGGAGCTGTTGGAGGACGCCGAGCGGCGGGGCGCGGCGCTGTCCTTCGTCTACGTGATCCCCGAGACGGTGTCGCGGCAGCGGACGCGCGACGCGATCTCGCGACGCACGCGGTTCCTCGCGCGGGCGACCTTCGCGGCCAAGGACGAGCACGTCTACCGCATGGGCCTCGACTTCCGGAAGCACGCCCAGGTGCCCTGGGACTGCCCGCTGACGACCGCGATCACGTGGTTCCAGACGAGCGCCGCGCGGCGCAAGTGGCCCGTGACCGACGACCTCGTCCGCGACGTCCTCCGGGCCTTCAAGTCCACGGGCGCGTAGGGTGCTTTTAGGACGACCCTAGGGCGCGCGCGCGAACGTGCGAATGGCCGTCGCGCCCGACGAGTGCGTCTTGTTGCAGACGAGGCGGTCCTCGCCGTCGAGCGTGAAGACGTCGTCGACGACGTCGTCGGGGCCGAAGGACTTGGAGAAGACGACGGACTCGCCCTCGAGCCGCAGCACCGTCGTCACGGTCTCGCCCTTCTCCTCGACGACGACGGGCTCGCCCAACACGTAGTCGGCCGTCCCGGACTTGATCGCGAAGCTCATCGTGAACGTGCAGGTCTCGTCCGCGCCGAAGGCGAACTCCACGGAGACGCCCGTCGTCACGCAGAGCACCTTGCGCTGGAGCCAGCCCATCTTGCGCGCGTCGCGGTAAAAGGCGTCGAGGCCCTCCTGGGAGCTGATGACCCACTTGCCGTTGAGCCGCTCCTTGAGCGGCGCGCTCGACGGGGGCTCCGCGAGGGCGGCCATGCCGTCGTACGAGGCGGCGGCCCAGCCCTGTACGCGGCTGGAAGCGCGGGGCCAGACGAGGCTGCCCAGCCCTGTTGTGTTCGGAGAGGGCTGATGTTTGACTGCAACTCAAAAACAGGAGCATGGGCTACCGAGAGTGGCCGAGCTGCTGAGGGCGCCCCGGGGCAGCTCCATCATCGTCGCGAGCTCGTGGGCGAGGGCTAGCGTGTGGATGGCCGGGGACGAGCCCGCCGCGCCGCGCGCGCGCGCGCCGATCCGGCCGTCCTCTTCGACGACCGCGCCGTCGCCCATGGCGCGCGTGCTCGCGAAGCTTTCGCGGATCGCGGCCGCGCTATCGGCCGCCGTGGACGCGCGGCGGCGCGGCGCCGTCCTCGACGCGTTCGACGCCCTCGACGCGCTGCGCGCGGACGAGTACGACGCCGTGACGGACATCGAGGCCTTCATGGCCACGGGCATCTACGACGCGCTGAGGAAGGCTTTAACGCTCGAGTACGCGGCGCCGCTCGCGAACGCGCACATCCGGCAGTGGAAGGCCTGCCTCGAGAAGTACCGCACGGACGCGTCGGCGCCAGCGCCGGCGCCCATCCCGCAGAGCGCGCCGCCGCCCGCCGGGCTTCCCTACCTGCTCATCTACCAGTACGGGTGGCAGACGCCCCAGGGCCAACCCGTGACGCATGAGCTCGTCGCTTCCACGCTCGTCGACTTTGCGTGCGCGCGAGACGACCAGGAGCTGGAGCGGAGCCGCCCGTCGCCGGCGGTGCGCCAGCGAGTCCTCGATCTGGTCCGGAATCTCGACAGAAGAGGGGAACTCAAGCTCGGAGACTGGAACCAGCAGGTGCGACTCGGCGCGATCGGCGGCCGCAACGACGGCGGGCCCAACTGCGAGACCCACCTCATCCTCGGTACGGGGGACGTGCACTACGGCTACATGACGCCCATCGGGCTGCTCGCCGGCTGCACGGATCGCTGGGACCACGCGTACCGCCTCTTCGAACTCTCGCCGCCGGACTGGCGCGGCGGCGGCCAGAGCGTCCGGCACCTCGCGGCGATCCTGTACTGGGTCAAAACCGGTCGTTTCCACGAGGATGCCGTGAGCGAACGATGGCTCCTCGAATCGACGACCCACGCGGGCATGATTCGAATTCCAGACAAAGCCAAGTTCCGATATCCCGGCTCCGAAGACACGTCCTACTCCAAGGTGATCTTCCGCCACTGCACCGTGTTTCAATCTTCCGCGAGATGTCAGCGGCCGGCGCGCCTGTGCCACCAGTACGCGGTCAATAACCCGGCGACGGATTTTCTGCCGCCGCTTCGCTTCATCTTTGACGACGGCGACTCCATCGATCTGCGGGAATTTTGGTCGATCGACGAGAACGGCCGGTTCATCGGCCCGCGGTCCGCGGCGGCGGCGACGTATTTGGCGCGTCTCATGACGATCACCGAAGAGACGCGCGTCGTCTCGGACTTCCCCGCCGGCGATAGTAGTGCCGTCTGTGCTGCGTGCGGCGATATGAAATACGACGTCACTATGACAAACTTGAAGTGGCAATTTTGCGCGCGCTGTCGAGAGGTGCGCTACTGCTCCAAAGAATGTCAAGCGACGCACTGGCGTTCCAGCCACCGGTCTCGATGCGACGCCCGCACGGGCGACGAGCACCGCCGCGCGACCCGCCCGCCCGCGGCGGCCTCGCGCGGGTCCTGGGCGCCCGGCGCGGCGTTCGTGCAGATGTGGACGGGCGGGTACCTGGGCCCGGGCGAGAAGCCGCGGCACCGCGACTCGCAGGCGTATATATGCAACCCGGAGAACATGCTCAAGGCCATCGAGGCGGACCCGACGGAGCTCGCGGACGGCATGCCCCGCGGCCTCCGGAACTTTGTCGACTCCATGACGGGCCCGACGGGCGACCGCATCCGCCGGCTCATGCACCTGGTCCAGGAGCTGCCCGACCAGATCGACGAGGTCATCGAGGGGAACGGCGGGCCGAACGCGATGGCAAAGACGGAGCGCGCGCTGTACGCGGCGTCGGCCGCCGCCGCCGCCGCCGCCGCGGGTCCCGCTCGCGCGACGCCGCCCGCGGCCTCGTCGACGGCGTGGGGGCTGCAGCCCGCCCCGCCGGCGCGGCCCGACACGCAGCCCCCCCGGGCGACGAGCGAGCCGCACTCCCAGGACGACGACGACGCGTGGACCGACGTGGAGGACGAGAACCCGGAATTTCTGCCGCCGGACCTGGGCGCCGCCGTCGGCGCGGTCCTCAAGGCCGACCGGAAACGGAAGGAGAAGCGGCGTCGGCGCGGCCGCCGCTAGGGTAAAGAACCCCTGTCCGAGGCCGCGCCTAGAGCACCCTTTTAGCAGACCTCGTACTCGGGCGCCGTCGCGCCGACGACGGAGAGCTCCCGGCCCGGCCGGTCGCGGTCCGGGAAGCGGCGCGAGTCGCGGGGCTTGAATGCGTTGCGCTGGCGCGCGGCCTCGGCGTCGAGGGCCTCCCGCGCGCGGCGCGCGTCGAAGTCGCGGCGCGCGTCGTCGAAGGCCGACGCCTTGATGCGGCGCTCGCCCCGGAGCCGCGGCCGGCGTTTGAACCTGGACCGGTCGATGACCTTGGCCGGCAGGGTCTTGACGGTCATGCGGTCGCAGGACTCGTCGAAGAGGCCCCGGGCGCGCGACGGCTCCGGCGACGCGCCGCGCGCCGACGCCGCGCCGTCCGACGCGTCGTGGTCCGCCGACAGCGCCGAGAGCTCGGCGCTTTGGGTGACGAAGAAGCCGCCGCCCCCCTTCTGGTGGGGGCGCAGCGTAAACCGGCCCAGCTGGGGCGCGCCGCGCGCCGAGTGGCCGTGCCTGGGCAGCAAAAGGGTGATTCAACGTCGCCTCAACGTGAGTGTTCCGCGCGTGCGCGTTCCGGAAAAAGCATCCACGCGTCGAGACCGTTCCGAGAGATGATCGCTCGTCCAAAAATCAGCCAAAACGAGTGGAAAACGGCCGAGATATGAGCCTTTGAAGTTGGGAATTTCGCTCTCTTTTGCTGCCCTGGGCCGTGCCGCGCGGCCGACAGCGCGCTGTGCTCGTCGCGGCGGCCCCGCGCGATGCAGCGCCGCATCATCGCCGCGAGCGTCGTCGACGTCATGACCTCGCGGTGGAACCTCTCCGGGTGGCAGACCAGGAGCGGCAGCAATCGCGTCTCCGGCGCGTCGCCGTGCGTGTGCGCCGCGTGGTCCGCGGTCCTAGCGACGAAGACGTGCTGCACCTGAACGGCGATGCAACGTCGCTTCAACGTGGGTGTGCCGCGCGCGCGTTCCAGAAACAAAGCATCCACGCGTCGAGACCGCTCCGAGCGATGATCGCTCGTCCAAGAATCAGCCGAAACGAGTGGAAACCAGCCGAGAGAGGAATCTTTGAAGTTTCGCGCCCTTGCCCCGCCCCGCTCTTCACCTCGCCCATGTGGCTCATGCTCTCCATGGTCTTCTGGAGCGGCACGAGCATGTCCTGGACCATGCGCTGGACGACGCCGCCGTCGTCGTCGGCGTCGTAGAGGAGCGACAGGAGGCGCACGCACGCGAGGTTCACGTCCGCGTCCACGGCCGGCCCCTTGTCCGTGACGACGCGCAGCAGCACGCGCACCGCGTTCTTCTCGAGCATGGTCGCCACGGAAACTCTAACGTCGCCGACGTCGTCGCGCCGGAGCATGGCCATCAGGATCTCCGCCGCGCGCGCCTTGCCGAGCGCCAGCCCCCGGTCGCCGGGCCCCTCGCCTGTGTGGAATTCAACCGCTGGTTTGGGGGGTCCTGACCAAACTTGAGAATTCTCTCGCTCGGTCACATCGAAGTCGATTCGGCTGATTTTTGGACGGATCGATTGCGTCAAAACATTCGAATACGCGCCCATTGAAGTCAGGTTGAAGATTCGGTTCCCACGCGGCCCCGCGCCCGCGCCCGCGCGCGATCCCGACGAGTCCTTCCGCGCGAGCACGGCCACGAGCCCGGCGACGACGGGCGACAGCAGGTCCTCGGCGACGAACAAGTTCTTGAAGACCACCGTCGCCTCGTAGGCCAAGACCGCGTCCTCGGCGACGAGTAAAGCTAACAACGACGGCACGAACGCCGCCGGGTAGCTCTCCGCGGCGTTGGGCACGTAGTCCGGCGAGTCCGTGGAGATGGCCGCGTTCATGCACCGCGCGGCCAACAGACGCAACGCCGTCGGCGCGTCCTCGGCGAGCAGGCAGAGCAGGCCGTGGCGCACGGTCTCCTCGTAGGCCGGGTTCCCGAACGCCAACTCCACGAGCAAGAAACCGGCGACGCGGTCCATGTCGCGCTTCCCCCGGTTTCGGAGCGCTCGCACGAGCACGTCCACGGCGTCGCACTCGCAGATGTGCTCCTTGACGTCCCGCCCCAACTTCGCGAGCGCGCGGAGCACGCGGACGCACTCGGGGCCGGGCGCCTTCTCCAACACGCCCACGACGACCCGGACGCCGCCGCAGTCCATGAACTGGCGGCTCAGGTGCCAGCCGTGGCTCATGGACGTGAAGAACTGCTCCATGGCCAGCAGGTGCGTGCGGATGGGCCGCGACGCCTGGCTGCTCACGCGCAGCGACGTCAAAACGCGCACGAGGAAGAGGCTTGTGGCGATGCCGTCGTCGCCGAGGTACTGGCCGTCGACGCCGTGGGCCGCGATCTCCTTGAGCAGCCGGTGCCGCTCCTTGGCCACGCTCCAGTCGCCGAGGCTCGGCATGGCGCCGCCCAGGCGGCCGGGGACGCCCATGGCGGCGCCGAGAGCAATGCGTTTCATCGCGAAGATTGATGCTGAACTTGACGCATTGGTGCCGAGCTCTCGAGCAAGGCTGGGCAGCGCTTTTGGGGTCCGCGGCCCGGCGCGATGGCGCGGCAGAAGCAGGTCGACGACGCCCTGGCGCGCGCCTTGAAGCGCGAGCCCGGCGCGGGCAAGATCCGCGCGGCGGTGCAGCGCGGCGTCGTGGTCCTGCTCCACCACGAGCACGAGCTCCTCAGGTACCGGCTGCCGACGGGCGCCGGCGACCGGGGCGAGGTGCTCTCCAGCTGGCACGACAGGCCCACGGACAAGCGCGTGCTCGACGCGGCCGTCGCCGCGCTCTCCGACCCGGCCTTCCTCGCGGCGCACGCCGGCGGGAGGAAGCGGCGCCGCGGGGACGACGCCGCGCCGCGGCCGCCGCGGCTCGCCGTCGGGGCGCGGAGCCTCGGCGCGCGCGGCGACGTCCACGTGGCGACGGGCGAGTCCGTCGAGGAGCAGGGGTCGATCTTCCTCGCCATGGTCGCGTGGCCCGTGGCCGACGGCGCCGCGGGCGCCGCCGCCGTCGCGAAGGGCGGAACGAAAGTTCGCGGGCGCGACGCACCGCGTGAGCGGATTCCTCGCCGCCGACGGGGCGTCGGCCTACGACGACGACGGCGAGGCCAAGGGCGCCGCGTCCATCGAGGCCGCCCTCGCGGGCCGCGGCGGCTACGCGGTAGTCGTCGCGCGGTGGTACGGCGGCGTGAACATCGGCCCGGCGCGCTTCCGCCACATCGAGGAGCGCGCGGCGCTGCTCGTCGCCGGCGCGGCGGCGGCCGCGCCCTTCGCGGGGGGCGGCGAGCGCCTCGGCGGCGGCGCGGCCGCGGCGGGCGGTCCGGGAGAGAGGGCGAGGATGTTCCTCGAAGCCGCGGAGCGGCGGCGCGCGGCGGCGGCGCCGGCGGCGAAGCGGCCGGCGTCCGAGGCCGCGGCGACGCCCGCGGTCGAGCCGGCGGCCCCGCCGCCCGCGCGCGCGCGCGCGCCGCCCGCGCCCGAGGCCCGGCGACCGCCGCCGCCCGCTTCCCCTGCTCTGGAGTGCCCGCGGTGCACGCTGCTCAACGCCGCCGGCGCGGCGACGTGCGCCGCGTGCGAGGGCCCGCTCGGCGCTCCGCGGCGACGGCCACCGCCGCCGGCGACGCCCGACTTCGACTTCACGCAGGACTCGGACTAAAAAGCGGCTCGTGTCGTCGGGAGCGGTTACCTTCGAGCGCACGTAGCGAGGGGGTGCGAGCGCTCTCGCGGCGCGGGGGCTCGCGAGAGCCGGGGATGTGACGGACGATCAAGGGGGCTGGTGTCTCTTTTTTTTTGTGTGAGCGCCGCCGCGGGCGCGGCGGCGGAGGTGTGCTGAAAGTCGTTGTTTTTGTGGGAGAGGGGGGCCGCGGCG